GTATGTGTCGAGGGAAGAGAACCACCGACGAGTAAAACACACCTGTACGAGAGAGATTTGAAATATTTTACGAAAAATATTTTCAACATTGAAACGAAAAATCATTTTGTTCAAAGTTGAGATGTTTCAACACAAATCAAGTCTTGTTGAAAATGACCGAAAAGAATGTTGAATTTGATTAACGAGGACGATCGTAGAGGCTTGGAAGAACATTTCAATCCACGTAGATAATAAGTTCATGGTAGAATAATTTCAAACTGACTTATACTCGTGGAAAAGGAAGAATTATTATTACCAAGGTTCAATGAGAGAGTGTTCAAATATTGTGTCGAATATTCCGTTCCGAGTGTACCTGAAAGACTGAGAAAAGAACTAGTTCCAATCTTCCAGACACACTCACACTAAATCATCCACGTCAAATATTAGCCTGGGAATATCGATCGTGCCTCGTAGCACAAAGATGGGCGCACCACGTTACGATACCTTTCGAACTCAATCTTAATGGAGAATTTCTTCCTGGTCGCGTGTACATCATCGAGGTCGTCTAGAAAAAGTAGAAAGTAAAGTTGCGCCAGAGCTTTCGCGGTCGCGTGGGTGGTTGCGTTCGGCCGGTCAAAGGGTCCCTTTTACTCGAAGTACCTGGAAAGTACCGTTTTCTTCCCACTCGACCAGGAGGAAATTCTCTTTAAACCCCGCCTCGTTCTAGCGCGAGAGCTCCGCTAGGAAATGTTTACGCCGCTTTTGAGAACGCGCGTGTAGGCGCACAGGTAACAGCGAGATTCCTCTCGATTCCTCTCGATTCCTCGGCGCTTGACCCACATCGCCTTGACGAGAACACCTTCCCGGTTACTCTTTTATCGCGTCCCTAGTTGATGCCGGCGCATACTGTTTTCGGACCACGCGTATAATCCTCCTCTCACACGTGATATACGACTTGAGCTCAATGTTGTTACACGCATCGACGAGACTTTGATGCTGAGGATGGTTTATATTTCGGAGAACAGCTGGCGGAAGAGAGTGTGTCAGATAACGGGGAATGAAGGGCCTCGCGTGGTGAGGTGAAATCAGGATATGATCCGGTAAGATTGAAGTACGTGTTTCTATAATTTCATCAATAACTGTTCAAGCAAACTGTTCGAGAATCGTCGTCCTGATGGATTTAGAAACATCTGTGTGACGATGACGAGGAATTTCTTTTTTTAATTTTTGTGAAATTAACGGAACGTTATAAGGTTCTTAATAATTTTATTACAAAATTATTCAAATTTATATTGTTATTACAAACTCAACTAATTTGGAATAATGTCTGGCTGCAAGTGTCAATTACGGGATCAAGAAAAATTTGCAAAAACTTTCGTTTTTATTTCCTTTCTCTTATGTTCGAACGCAATTTCTGCACCCCAAAATGTATCAGCGGCTAATGGTCGTTCAATCGCCTGCAACAATGCAGATTAACGAGAGTCGGGACGTGCTTTCTCCACTTAGCGTGGTAATTAGATAAGCGGCAGCGAATTAGCGAGTGAAAAGCAACGAATAGCGATTTCCATCGCTGAACCTATCGAAATGCTCGAGTCGGGAAGGGTGAGTCGAGTCGAACGTAGATAACCACCCAAGATCGCTCGATGTGCCGCAATTTCGAAAGATATCACTTAAAGTGGTCTCCATAAAGGTTTCCATTAACATGATAAGGCAAGGTTGATGCGTTCGTGGCCATTAGCCGAGCGAAGTTACACAGTGTGGCCCGTGAATAGGGATGGGATCAAGTCCAACATGTACAATGACGATTCCGAGACAAATTTGACATATGTAAAATTTCTCATTGATTTTGAGTAACTATACTCGAAACTGAAAATGTTTCAACGATTATATTCATTTTATTTGTACGAGCAATAGATGGATGGATTCGTTTTATATTAATGCATATACAGATACAATGGGCAATTAATGAATATACAGATACAATGACTATGCATATACATACATATATGCAATATATATATATGATACACAAGTAGTATGAATATATTTAAAATATTACAAACATCGACGTTTTTGAAACTTGTTCCTCGATGAAGAACGTAACTCATGGAAGATTATGTTAATAAAATTTTTTCAACATTCGGAGATTCTTCAAACTGATATATTATCATAAAGATATATTATCAATCATATTGTTGCAAGTAAAACTCTTATAAATAGTTAAATGTTACTTGTTAAGCAGTTATATTAATCTTACCTGCAAGTTAAATATCGCAGTTACAACGTCAATTTTCCGTTCAATTGAAAACTTCTAGTTGAGACGTTGATTTTCGTAGAAAGATTTTCTACTTGCGAGATGCTCGATTCCATCTCTACCGGTGGAGCAGCCAACTCTCCTCGATTTTCTCCCGCCGCTTTTTATTTCTTATGCCGAGAGGAGAGAAGATACGTTCGACGCCCGTTTATTGCCGCACGATACTCGAAGCGTCCGGGCGACATTTTTCTTCGCCGAATTATACGCCCGTGTCGAGTTAATCGTTGCACTTTATCGTCGCGAGCTTTTAGCGTGAATCGCGGCTGGCAACGGAGCGTCAATTAACGCGACGGATTTCCGCCTTGGCTGTCCCCGCTGCCGAGTACTGTGGGAATGCAGTTTGCCGAGCAAATTGAAATGTTTGTTACTCGCCGATGAGTTATCGCGCAACGTGTCAGATACACACCGAATTATGAACCGTACGTGGCTGTTTAATCAAATTTTCGTTCGTTGTTTATCGTCCGGAATTTTTATACGCGACGTATTTCTTCGTCGTTTGTCGCGTGAAAAATTGCGCGGTTGCGAAGATCTATCGCGGTGTATCTGTTGTCGAAGTTTGTTCCTTTACTTATTTTATCTCCAATTCATTTCAAACATTGTATTTCAATTTAAATTGTTACTTCCTCGTTTTCGATTTTAAACTTGTTTTTTTCTTTCTTGGACGATTGTTGTCAAGTATCGCAAAGTCGTGCAAAATTTCGGCATTCAGGAAAAGAACGTCGATCAGAAGAAACATTTACGAAGCAGGATCAATTTCGTTTGTGCATTCGTTCGCTTTTGTTTCTACAAAATTTGTGACTCTGAATTCCTTTTCTTTTTCTTTTTTTTTACGGAGGCGATGTTTGATCACGACTTGGGGCTAGATTCTATCAAAGATGCTCGATACACTGGCCGATCTGCGGCTAAAATCGCGTATCGTTTTTTCGAAAGAAGAAACACGTGTTCGCCGCTACCTCACCGCATACGTGTTATATCGAGAGCCGTATTCAAGCTTGGTATTCTGATTTACGTCCTTTATATCTACCAATTTATGGCTTCTGCTCGCCGGCCTGCCTATTAGAATATTTGTAAAACCAGCTATATCTCGTCGCACCTTTTAACGATGACTTTACGGGATAACTCGTTCGACTTCTATTTACAGAATTCTGATGGCTGAAGAGGAACAGATAAAAGTAACGATCGATGTGTTTTGTAAAGTCTAATGAAGGAATTACTAGGGTTTAAATTTCAAAAAAAGTTCGATTTAAGCTTGTATCGTGAATTATACTAATTTTACTTTGAAAAAAAACTCTCCACTCTCAAATACATTTTCGTTCACATATTTTCAATATTTTATATTTATCATACCGAATTTAAATTCTTAACATTTACTGAAACATACAATTGTTACTGTTTCTTTCTTTTTTTTTCTTCTTCAAATAACTCGTTGCAGATGATTTTCTCTTTATCTTTAATGCCATCCTTTGAGCTTCTTAACAGATAATCCAAAGAAAATTGGTCAATTGAATAAAAATCCAACTAACCAATAGTAGAATTCAAAATCTCTCTCACACAAACATTATTCCTCTCATTTCTAACGCTCTCACAAGAAATTCTTCGTCTCTGGATTGTCACCAATCTCACCATAAGTATTCATTCCATAAACCTAACTCGCCTAGTTTGTCGTTTCATTCACCACATTCTGTTAATCTCGCCTGTTTTCAATTCGCTTGTGCTTAATTTAGCGAAATAGGTAAGTTCGTCTTGCAACGAACAAGGTAGCATGAACGCGACGCAGGATCACTTTGGTGTGTAACGTTTGCCCCTGGTGGGCAGCAATATCTATCGACGTGTATGTGCAGGATCGGAAAGGGACATCTGGGAGGCATGCCTTAATTGACCGCTCGGAATATTGACGAGATCCCAGAGACGGATTGAGACGTTGAATTTCCGAAGGGACGTTCCCTTTTTTTGCCTTCCCCATGAAATATGACCGTTCAATATACTAGGCAGATATTTATGTACTCGTGGGATTGCACCCGACATAGGGGATTCGAAAGCGATGCGGGGACAGGTTCAGGGAACAGTAGAAAGCGCTCCTTTTATTTGTTTTTTCCTCGTCGTTTTTCAATCGTCTTCGAGCGGATGAGACTTCGAGAGGATGCCTTCATTGTTCGTTCGTTTGCTCGTGTTTGCAACAAACTTGCAGAAGCCACCGTGTTCTTTCTTTCGTTCAGGGCAGTCTACGGTTAATTGTAAAGTCGATTGGAAGACAATGGGTGATGTTTGACCCTCGAATGATGGTGATGGGTCATTTGGATTGATAGACGTTGGTAGAAGCGTTGCAGTAATATTTGTAGATTTGAGTATTCAGAAAGAATAATTGTACAATTATAAAATAAATGTAGAACAGCAATATATATTGAGTCAAATTTATGATTACTTGCCTATTTTGA